CAGGAGGTCCCATTAGAACAATATTCTTCTCCCCAATAAGAGAGTGGACTGACATCCATGACTTCCGTGAAAGCACAAAGGTTCTTGAAAAAATCAACTTTAAATATACATTGGATGCAGTGGTGTGACTCATTCGTTTCAGATGCTGATTCCATGCCGCGTGAAACATCTTTTTCACTTCCAAACCAATTGCACAAGATACTGAAAAGCTTTGAAGAGAGGAGGAGAAAAAGCCAGTTAGCAACCAAAAAAGTTAAGCTTTAGACGTTTAACATGCCTATGTAGAAACTAACGAGGGAAAACAGGAAGGGATGAGTCAGTGCTCGGCTCTCGTAGCCCTTTCTTACATGTCCAGGGTAATGCTGATTGCCACTCTGGGGTCAAGAAGGAATTTTCCTCCAAGCCAGAGTGGTCAAGGATCCTGGAGGTTTTTGTTTTCCTCTGGGCATACAGCAGGGGTCACAGGGGGGTGGGGAGAGTAATTGTGAATTTCCTGTGTTGTGCAGGAGTTGGACTAGATGATCTTTGAGGTCACATCCAGCTCTATGTTTCTATATTTTTTATTGTTCTTTTCCTCTGTCAGGTGAGCATTTTAATGAGATCTCCCATCTTTTACATCATATTAGATCATTTTTCACTAATAAACAAGAGATCAGAATTTACAGAATTTTGCCTTCCACTACCTTTGCACAGAAACTAACATTTCACCCCTCAAGTATGTACCTGTTGCAAAGTTTCTAGTCTCAACAGTAGCTGTATATACAAAAATTAGCTTCTGGTTTCATATACATAGAGTAACGCTTTGTGAAGTAATACTTCATTTTTTGGTATGTGGCATATCTGTTATCTTGGCTAGCAGCCACAACAGAAGCAGGACAGAATCAGTTCTAAATCTGCAAACCTACAGCCAATGCAACAGCAGCACGGACTCAATGCAGATAACGTTCCTAGGATCTGTTTTTAAAATCCTCAGTGGCTTCTCTGTGTGCGTATTATTTTAAAAATATATACTATTGCTTATTTATGTTATTTATTATATTATGGTTTTTCTGTAGTTATTTATTATGCACCCCTTTCCCAACAGGTTTGTGCACATGCATAGGTGTATATTTTGAAAAAAATAAAGCTAATGACAGGTTAGCAAAACAGGGAAATGTGGCCATTGACTTCAGCAGAGCTGGGACTAAACCATAACATTTTATTTAAAAGAGCCCAAGGGTGCAATTCATTTCCACTGCAATACCAAACATCAAAAGGGTAGCAATGTACAGCTAAGATTTTTATATAAAGTCCGTATCAAGCCTCCAGATATACATTCTTCCTTTAAAACACACACACACACTCAACAATTGTGTATAAATTAACAAGCCACAACTTACAGTTACAACAGTGCCTCAAGGACATCCTGTTATCTTCTGGGTAGACATTACAAAAAACAAGCCATATCTGTGACGTGCTCTTGTCCAGGACCCACGTTTGGGTGTCCCCCCCCCCCAGTGTAAACAGAATGGAATAAAACAGAAAGAACAAGAGAATGAAGCAAATACCATCCAAGAGACTGATCTCCAAAGGGAACGAATGAACAAGGGGGGCGGGGGTAAAAAGTGCTCAACAGCACCAATAAATACACACATGTTGCCAAGAGTGGATTCACTTTGTTTGCTCAGGGAAGTCAACAGCAGCATCAACATGAACTGCAAACAACATCCAGAGCACACAATTATGCAATAGTCAGAAGATTGGGGAAACCTTTTGTGAAGCCTCTGCTTTTCAAAATTCAAAATATTTTCCTCTGAAGGAGTATAATACTATAAATCTAATCTACTAAGCTCAGGCAAGTAAGAAAAAAAACTGTTTATTTTTTAGAGAAAGCTGTCAGAGTTTAATGGGCTGCAAATTGCCCTAGTGGAAATTGTCAACCATTTGCAAATCAGTAGTTATGTGTTAAGATCAAGGCTGCCATTCAAGAACAGTGCCCCTACCCAGTACTGCAACGTCATTTAAGGCCACAATTCAATGGATATTAATGATAATGGTGTGGTGAGAATATTTCCAATTTAAGTGTTTACACAGTAGGCCACACAACTGAATTAGAAGAGCATAAGCAGCAAGACTGGTTTTAAAGTAACCAGCACTTACTTAGCATTTGAGCTTTGTAAGTAAAATTCCCTTTTAAAAATACACATGGGGGGGAAGGGGGGGGAAATAAGGGTAGTTTTTAACATATTTTTTAGTTGCTGAAGTATACTGAGCCAGCATAAATGCATTAGCAACACTGTAATTTTTGTGTAGGGCATATGTCCGGCTCTCCAAACTGAAACGGGATCCAAATAGGAGACAACCCAGCAGGAAACTCACATATGCAAGTTTCTCCAGAAGTATTCATTTCAGTAAAGCTTCATCTAAAAACTCTCCCAACGAATTCTGTCCCTTGATTTTGATTACTCCTTCAGTAGTAGTATTCCAATACAATAATTGTGTTATAGTAGCCCTACATCTTTGCACCATTCTCCTTGTGCCATACAGCATCTTTATCCAGTTTTTAAATATTACTCCATGATACAAGACACAGAACAATCGTCCTAAAGTGCCTGTCCAATTCTAGCCAGACTGAAATCATCAACCAACAATTAAGGGTGAACAAGCCCAAACCTTAGAAAGCTTCCTCAAACCTTGTTCTGTATCTTCTTTGTCTAATATTTGAGATACAAAGGCTCCAAGCAGGGAATTTCCCATGCTCTAGTTCAGGGGCCTCCAGCCATTATGAGCTTGCAGGCAACTTTGGAATTCTGACACTGGATGGTGGGTGCAACCACAAAATGGCTGCCACAAGAGACAGCACCAACCATAAAATCTCAGGGAGTGAGGGCATGCATAATTCTAACAATAACTCTTCAACATTTCAGATAGAAGCTCTGTCTTAACAGGATGCCTGAGAAAGCTACCTTCCCTAGAAAAAATCTACAGCCTATGCAAGTCTCTGGAGAAGCAGCATATACATATACCAAATGAATTAAATAAGCTAATTGCTGGCTTTACAGAAAATGGCTTCCCCACCACCACTCACATATTTTATTAGACTAGTAACACATACCCACACCAGTCCATGGGGAAACGAAAGGCTGAAACATGACACACATTCCTGTAGGTGTCTGCATAAGATTCCCGCAAAGGCATTGCTGCAAGCATTCAAGTAATTCACACTGCTAAGCCACAGGCAATAAACTAATGCATGCCGTATTATTTTTACAATTTATATTTTGCCATTTTTCTTGCAAGAATGACCAAACCTGTCCTGTTTGTCCTCAAAATATCACATACCTGACTGGTGCCTTTCTGATAAAGAATTGCTATTGTGTCATATTGTTACACACGTTCATGTACACCTGAAGCTGCCATACTGAGTCAGACCCCTTGCCTATCAAGGTCAGTATTATCTACCCTGACTGGCAGCAGCTCTCCAAGGTCTTAGACAATAATGGTCTTTCACATCCCCTATTGCTTGACTCTTTTAACTGGAGCTGCTGGGAACTAAACTTTATGCAAAGCAGATGCTCTACCATTGAGCTGCACACATGCTCATGTGCTACTACCATTAAATGTTATTAATCAATTTATTTCAAAACTAATCTTCATTATTTAACAGAAGCAATGCAAACTAGGAATTAAAATCCAAATGTGAGACTGTCATGAAAAAATACAAGAAACACTTCAGTTATGCCAAGTAAAACATCATTATTCCAGAAGAGTTTAATGTGAGGAGCCATATCTAGCGATTTCAAGCTTGGAAATTCTGACCTCAATTCAAAATGGAACACAACAGCCAAGAAAGGTGCCTGCCCATGGCAAGAAGAAATTTCAGATTCATAGTAGTCTGGATTTGCTCAAAATTCTTGGGTTACAGCAAACTAGAGTTTCAAAGGACTCTTCAGAGCTGCTAAAGGAATGTGACCAGGGTGGGAAGAATAGTGATTTTGTGTTGGCTTGTCAGATGAACTGTTATTAACAGTCTTTCTGGAATTCAATTCTGTTTTAACAGTGCAGCGCTGATTCTCTTGAAGCAAAGATCTAGGATATAGTGAAGACATACAGCATTTTGTTTGAAAGGCCAAACCTTCCAGCCTTGGATAAGGAAAGGGCTCTTTCTTCTCTTCAGTCCAACCCACTGTTTCTTGCAGAATCTTAAAAGACTAACATTTATTGTAGCATAATTTTTCGAGGGCTGGATGACCAGCCACAGAAGTCAGCACATGAAAGCTTATGCTACACCAGTGGAATTTCAGAGTTAAAACAACGGGCTTAAGCTGGAGTACGTCTACATAACACTGCATTCTAAGACTAAACAAAGGTGTTAGCCTGCAGCACTCAGCTGCTCCCTGATAACAAACAAGATTTATTTTAACATAAGCTTTCATGAATCAGGAGTTCACTTCACCAGATGCGAGTGAGCTCTGGCTCGTGAAATGTATACTGGAATGAACTGCGCTCGCCAGAAGACTCCTATTTTATCTCACAGAGAGGCTTTAAGGCTCCTTTTTGGTTTTACTGCAACAAGACTTCACTCTAGAGTAAGAGTCGCAACGGCTGCACATCAGCGGATGAAAACTGGAACCGCCCTCGCGTTGCAAGTAGCTCGCCTCTTTCCCCTACTGCGGGAATACAGTACACAACCCTGCATTTGGCCGTCCCCACTCCTCCCAAATGAGAATAACGACAGGAACCCGCCTTCAGCGGTAAAGAAAGAATACGACTCCATGACACAAGCAAGCCCCCGCCTCCTGCTAGAACACCTCCACCCGTTACTAAACCACCATCTCACTAACAAGCCTTACCCACTCACGCATGCGCGTTCTCCTCGTCGCTTTCAGCTTCCTCCTCTTCTGAGCGCTAGCGGGTTGCTGCGCCTGCGCATGATTCTTTCCCCTCCCCTCCCCCTTCATTGTTTTCATTGCTCCGGAAGTGACGTCACAAAGCCGCATTCTACTTCCACACACATGCATGTTGCCGGGCAATCGTTTCCCGGAGCAACCAAACAGTAGGCTGGGTAGTTACTCATTCTAAGCCGCTGTTGCGAAGGGTTGCAGGAAGGTTCGAATGAGAGCGGAGATACATCCGAGCAGAGGGCAAGTGGCCGGGTAAGGCTTGGAGGAGGAAAGAGAGAGGCTGGATAGAATAGGAAGAAGAAGGAGGAGGGAGGGATGGGGGTTTCAGACGGTGTTCCTGTACACACGTGCTAAAGAGATCGTCTGCACTGTCTTGTACCTAGATTCTAGAACCCATTCAAGTTGGGCGTTTTCACCTTAAATCCATCTCTCTACATCCAACGTGCGGCAGAAATGCTTCTTTCATTGTTAATAAGAAAAAGGAAAGAAATGGGGAGGAGGAGAAATGAATAGAAGTAGAAACAAGGCTTGGGTGTGTTAAATTCCAAGTGGGGAGCCATGCTAGTCTGGAACAGCGAAATAAACTACGATACTCGCAAGGCTAACACGGTTTGTTCCAGAATAAGCTTTTATGACTCACATTTGACAAAGGGAACTCTGATTTGTGAAAGTTTATCCTAGAACAAATGTTACCTTTTAAGGGAAGGGGGTTTGTGAGTGAGAATCTGAAGGGGAGGAATTAATCGTCTGCACCTTTTTTTAATTAAATTGCCTGCAGGACTTACTATTGGGAAGATGGCTGCCTTGCTGGTGGAGGAGAGCATTTACAATCTAATACCTCAGGTTCCACACAAGCCTTTCAAGGGACCTAGGTAGGAGGATATAACATTTCCCTTTGGAGCCGTTTTGACAAAGCTTTGGATTGGTTATTGAGAGATACACACTTCCTTACAAAACTGTGCTGTTACACTAACAGAAGCTGAATTTAGAATCTGTCACACAACAGCAATTGAAATGACAGGAGGTATCAGTGACATTCATCAGGAAAACTAGGTTTCTTTGAGTAAAATAAACTGGTGGCACCTTAAAGACTGATCAGTTTTTATTCTAGCCTATGCTTTTGTGCCCATTTTATCTGCTAAAGCAAGCTCTTGTTGTTGTTCAGTCGCACAGTCGAGTCCGACTCTTTGCGACCCCATGGACCAGATCACGCCAGCTCTAGTGAGAATTAAAAGTCTTTAAGGTACCATAAGACTCTAGTTTTACTGGCTAAGGAACTCAGACTGCTAATTTACCAAAACTATCTGATGCTGGATCCATTATAGATACTATTTAGGAGCATCTCAAAGGTTACCGTTGGTTACTCTTGTGTGCCAAGAGAACAAAGTAAAAAAGGAAGGCTACTAGCAATGCATGCAATACAGTGCAATCCTAAAAAATGTTACTTTCTTCAAAGCCCACTGACTTCAAAAATAGACTCAGAATGGTGTAATCCATTTAAGATTGTTGCAGACACCACTGAATTCCGTGGGAATTACTTTCAAGGAAATATGCATAGAGGTGCCACTTTATATTAATTTTAGATACAACCATATTACAAATTTCCTTTGTTCTTCATTTCCAAAATATTTTTCCTTGTTCACCCCTTGTTCTTCTTTTCCCGAATCTTTTCCTTGGTACAGTTAGCATGTTCTTTTGAACAGCATCCCTTAAATTCCTTTCCTCAAACTGATCCAGGAAAATGCAACTTTTGGAAGAGTTACTCTACCTTATTTATCAATTTATTTTCTTCAGTGCCTTGACCTGGGTAGCCCAGGCTAGCTTGATCTCATCAGAGTTCAGAAGCTAAGCAGGGCCGGCCCTGGCTAGTATTTGGATGGGAGACCTACAAGGAACACCAGGGTTGTGATGTGGAGGCAGGCAATGGCAAACCACCTCTGAATATCTCTTGCGTTGAAAACCATACGGGGTCACCATAAGTCAGCTGTGACTTGAAGGCAAAAAAAAACGCTCTTCTTCTTCAGTGTCTGCAAGTCCATCAATCACTAGACTTCTTTTCCAGAATTACAGGGCCTTCGTGGTAAGAATGGTACCATGAAAGAGCTAAAAGGGAGGACAAGGTAAACACAATGGGTAATCTCACTTTAGAGACCTCTTCTTTTCCTCTAACACGGGTCTGTTCTATTGTGGAACTATGCACGCTTGCAATACGGTTTATAGGAATGAAATATTTGTGTTCCCATAGTCCAGTGTTTCTATAAAGTACTGCAGTCAACCTATTTTTTTTTCTTTTCAACATGTAGTGAACCTGTGCTAAAATTGATTTATCAGACCAAACCACCCTTCTGTCTGTGGTTTGTTTTTTTCCTGAATTAAACTTGGAAGCACATTTCACTTGTCACTAAGAATATCTTTGAAATCAGCATCCAGAATAAAGGCCACCTTCCTTCTCACAACTTCAGAATAGCCTACTTAGTGATTTTTCCTGACATTCCACCCTCCCTGTTTCCTAATCAAAACTCAGGGACAGGACTTTGACTTCTGCACAATCCTGGTTGTTCTAGCACTTATCTGCTGTACTGAGCACCATATTTTGCTGTAGCAAAAGAGTCAGGGTGGTGTGGTAAATGATCACTGTTCTGGACTTGGCCCCAGAGATCCAAGTACAAACTCCCACTTAGACCCTGAAACTCACTGGGGCTGATCACTCTGTCTCAGTTGAATGTACTTCTCAGGCGTTGTTAGAGTAAAATGGAGAAAGAAGTATGTTTGGCCACCTAAGTTGCTTGGATGAAGGGAAAGATGAAAAACACAACACCTAAAACCCTGCATCAGGGCACTGAGGAGCTTATCTAGTTTTTACTCCTGAGTTGGTGCAATGATGACAGGTCAAATGGGGTGGGTGATCATATCCACCACCTTTTGCTTTTTGAAGAAAAAGAAGAGAAGAGATTGGATTTATATCCCACCCTTCACTACCCAAAGGAGTCTTGGAGCGGCTTACAAACTCCTTTCCCTTCCCCTCCCCACAATAGACACCCCCAATGTTCCCTCTAAGCTGAGTTAGTGTGAGCTAGCTCACAGTTTTTTTAGCCTTGGCTCACACATCTTTGTCTTTGCTCAGGAGGGATGGCTCCGGAGCAAGTTAATTGATGCAGCAGCCGAATCACCCACTCACAACCTGAATGCCAGTAGCTCACAAAGTAGAATTTTTGCTCACAAGACTCCACAGCTTAGAGGGAACATTGCCTGTGAGGTAGGTGGGGCTGAGAGAGCTCTGACAGAAACTGCTCTTTTTTTTTCAAGAAACAGCTGTGCCAGAACTGTGGCTTTCCCAAGGTTATCCAGCAGGTGGAAGTGGAGGCGTGGGAAATCAAACCTGGTTCTCCCAGATTAGATTCTGCGCATTTAACTACTACACCAAATGGGAGAAAAGGTGTGGTAAAGGTTTTCAGTGGCTTGTTTTGATGGCTTCATTTTCTGTTCTCGTGACTGAGCTTTAATGGTATTGTTTTAGTTGTAACCTGCGTCACCCAAGTATCTCAGGTGGCATATATATTTAATAAATTAATTTTAAAAATTAAATAAATTGGCACAGAGATGGGTCACATCCAGTGTGATGGCTTAATTTATCAAGGCCCATTTCAGGCCCTCTTGTTTCACACCAGTATGAATGACACACAGTTTGGAAATTGCTGTGTTAATAGGTGTTGGGGAAAAAATCATGGGTCCAGTGCAGTCCAAGCGAGCAGAACCAACAGTTTCAGTGGAGCTAGGGTTTTGCCATGCAGCTATTATTGTTGCGTCACTAGTGATATAACTGTACAGTAAGAAAGTATCATCAATTAAATGACCTGTACTGGACTTTCGGCCATCTCAAAAGAGGATGCTTCACCTTTGTCATCCATGAGATGTGAAGTCATGGCAGAATAACGGAGGGATTTTCTAAGTCCAGTTTGGTGTAGTGGTTAAGAGCGTAGGCTCAAATTTGGGACAATCGGGTTTGATTCCCCACTCCTCCACATGTAGCTGCTTGTGTGACCTTGGCTCAGTCACAAGTTCTTTCAGAGCTGTTCTCTCAAAAGCAGTCTTTGAAAGAGCTCTTTCAGCCACACCTACCTCACAGGTAATGCTTCCTCTAAGCTGCAGAGTCTTGTGAGCCAAAATTCTACTTTGTGAGCTACTGCCATTAAAGTTGTGAGCGAGCAATTTGGCAACTGCATAAATTAGTTTGCTGTGGAACCATCCTTCCTGGGCTAAGATAAAAATGTGTGAGCCAGAGGCTAAAAAATGGTGAGCTAGCTCACACTAACTCAGCTTAGAGGAAACACTGCCCACAGGATGTCTGTTGTGGGAAGGGAAAGGAGATTGTAACTGTGCCCTGTTGGCCCATAGTAACTGTTTGGTCACTGTGATACAGGATGCTAGACTAGACGGACCACTGGTCTGATCCAACAGGGCTTTTCTTATGTTCTTAATTTTAGATCTCTTGAATTTTAGATCACATACACAAATAGGGCAAAATAGTATATAGAAAAAGTCATTTGCCTTTTGACTTTTTGTTATAGCTTGTATATCTTCTTTTCATTAAAGATACATATCAAAACTGAATCCATATGTGAAACATACAATACAGCAGAGTAAATCTCAGTGGAAGACCATGGGACCAGCAAAAGTCCATGTACCTTCTCCAAAAGACTTTCTTCAGAAACATTCAAAGGAACCAAAACTACCAAAGAGTATGTTTGGAACATAACAATATCTGAAGGCATTTTTATTTCAGTTTTGTATTATTTGTTGACTTAGACTATGTGCGTGCCACTTTCCCAGTACATTATCAAAGTCATTACAACATGAAAAATAAAATAGCTTTAATAGAAAAATAATCAGTAAAGTTAACTTAACAAAAACTTAACAGCACAAGACAACAACTAAAAAAAATAAAACATCAACTGATCAGAAAACAGTCCATGTAAAGAAATTGCAAATGCTTAATCGAAAAAGAAGGTTTTAAAGCACTTTTAAAAATTATGCAGAGACAAACAATTCCAGGTGGTGATTGTTCCACCAATTTGGAGATGCAGCTGTAAAGGCCCTGCTTCTACTGACAGGTATAAAGGTTGTGCACGAATATCATTAACAAAGCTTGGCCTGATCTTACAAAAGTATGGGGTACTATGGGCAGAGATTGCCTCTGAGATATATGGTTCCATGTACAGCTTGTCTATGAATCATTCACTAAAACTGCGGAAAAACAAGTTACTCTATATTCTGCTGTTTCCTACTGTGGAAAGTTATACGGTACATTCAAACCTCACAATACATTGTGATTTAGGAACAACGGTTTGATTCAACCTCTGTGATGTACAAATGCCACAAGTTTACCTGCTTAGTTTTTGCTTCTGACCTGGATGAAGTCACTGCTCAGTGTAACGCATGAAGCTGCCTTGTACTGAGTCAGAGCTTTGGTCTGCCAAGTTCAGTATGGACTGGCAGTGGCTCTCCAGGGTTTCAGGTGGAAGTGTAGACACATCAACTGCTATCTGATCCATTTTAAACTAGAGATTCCAGGAACTGAACCTGGAACATTCTACATACAAAGCAGATGCTCTGATATTGAGCCGTGTGCCACATCCCAACAGAACTGGACCAACTATTAATGTATTTTCTCAAAGGAGACTTTTTTTAAAAAAAAGACCATTCACCAAATACTTTGGAAAAGCTCACTCTTATTCATGTTTATGCTTCTGTAGTATGAGAGTGCTGGACTAGAATCCCCACTCTGCCATGGAAGTTTGCTGGTTGACCTTGGACCAGTCATATGCTTTCAGCCTAACCTACCTCCCAGGTTTGTTGTGAGGATAAAATAGAGGCGAGGAGTATAATGTAAGCCACTTTGATTCCCCCCCTTGTGAAGAAAGGTATTTCGTTTTCACAAAAATAGCCCCAATGATTTTGAGAAGTGTGACAGGCCCCATTTCCCCTGCACTGCTGCCTGGCCAGCTGAAATGATCAAGAGTCTCAGTAGAGCGGCTGTGAAATGTTTCTGACACTAAGACAGTACTTCAAAATCATTAGGACATTTTTGTGTTTTTATTGCACAACTATCAGTTGTTTTGAATGTTTTTTTTTGAGCCTGTATTTTGTTTACAAATTTTGTATGGAATCTTTCTGTCCATTGGGGGGCACGAAGGTGGCCCAACAGTTAAAACATTATAAAAACAATTCATAAAAGCAATTTAAACCAAAACTAAAATACCAAAACCCAACTACTTAAATGGTAGTTAAAAAAATATAGGAAGTAGGGATCACTGAGGGAACCCCAAATTAAACAAAAGGGTATTTATTCACCCACAGAAAGGGGCAGAGGAATATCCCTGGGAAGAGAGCTCCATAGTTTCGACGCCACAGCCAAGAAGGCCCTCTTTCTGATTGCCTTCTGTCTAACTTTACAAGGTGGAGCCAGCCAAAGCAGCGCTTCAGAAGACTACCTTAGTGATTGTGTGTGTTTGTATCGGAGTCGGTGATCCTTCGGGTATGCTGGCCTCCAGCCATATAGAGCTTTGCAGGTCAACATCAGCACCTTCAATTGGGCTCAAAAACAAATTGGGAGCCAGTGTATATGGGCCAAAACGAGTGATATGGCCCCTGTGATCCACTTCAGTCAGCATCCTTGCTATCGCATTCTGTACCCATTGAAGTTTCCAAGTACTTTTCAAGGGCAGCCCCACGTACAGCTTACTGGAGTAATCCTGTCTACCAGGGTATGCACCATAGTGGCTGGATCTTTTCAGCCCAGGGAAGGGGGCAGCAGGCTAACCAATCAAAGCTGATCAGGGCACTGCCGGCCACAGCTGCCACCTGCTTGTGCAACGGTAGGCCAGGGTCCAGGAGCACCCCAAGTTACCAGCCTGTTCCTTCAAAGGGACTGCAACCCCATCCAGAACTTGGGACGCCTTAAATCCTGGGTCAGACCTTTTGCTCACCAGTAGCCTTTCCATTCTGTCAGGGTTCATCTTAGTTTATTAGCCCACATCCACCCCAAAACTGCCTCCAGACACCAGTTTAGGATTTCTGCAGCCTCTCTGGGATCAGCTAGAAGCATGAGGTGGAGCTGAGTGTCACCTGCATATTGGTGAAAACCTGGCCCAAACCTCTGGATAACCTCACCCATCAGTTTCATGCACACGTATAGGAGACAAGACCGAGCCCCACGAGACCCCAGTGGTCAAGGGCCCAAGCAGCAGTCCCCTGGCACCACCTTTTGAAACCTGCCTTCCAGTTAGGACTGGAAACCATGCAAAACAGTCCCTTCCAGAACTAACCCAGAAAGGCAGAGGTATACCGTGACTGATGGTATTGAAAGCTACTGAGAGGTCCAGGAGAGTGGCTGAGTGCCTTGTATTATTTTTATGAGATCCAGCAGTTTGCTTTTGGGCCTGCGCAGACAATGTTTATGTGTTCCTGACCTAGTTTACAACAGTATAATTCAGTTCTGTTGTTGGACAGGACAGGCTCACTTTCTGGCCAGCTACCAAAGGCTGTGAGCTGTCCCTTGTGGCACGCCACTGGTTACACATGCTGCTTCCAATAATCACGGCCTGCATGAGGCCACAGTGTCATAAGGAAGCATGCCATTTAGGGCTAGAGAGCATCCACACCAAAGGGGCAGGAGAGGAAAATGAGAGCAATGACGAACTGGCAGGCTGGAGAACATAATGGGCCCGATGGACGTAATGTGATCGCTGAGAGCCAATAAACTGGAGCTCAGGTCCTGTTGATCAGTGGAGAAGCTACTTGAGGAGTGAGGAGTCAGCCTTCCTGGAGGGGTTTCCCCTCTCCCCGAAGGAGCAGTTTCATAGGTTAGGAGTGCTGGTAGATCCTGGCCTGCATTTGGAGGCTCAGGTCTCATCTATGGCATGTAGCACCCCCTGTCAGCTACAGCCCTTCTTTTAAAAGCAAAAGCTGGCCACAGCGATCCATTTTCTGAATCCCATCCAGGTTAGATTACTGTAACGGGGCTGCCCTTGAAAACTGTCTGGAAACTTCAGCAGGTCCAAAATACGGCAGCCAAGATACGGTCCAGGGCAAGATATACGGATTATATAATCCCAGTGAAATTTCTGAACTGTCTGTCTATTTCCAGGCACAATTCAGATTGCTGGTCCTTACCTTTGAAGCCCTCTGTGTGTTGCTCCCACAGAGCTTGAAGGACGGTCTCCTCTCTTATTGTCCAGCCAACGTGAAGATCCTCTTGTGGCCAGTGGTGACCAGAGAGGGCTTTTTCAGTGGTAGCACCTCAAGGCCCCACCCCCTTGAGGTTCACCTAGACCAGTGGTGGCAAACCTATGGCACGGGTGCCAGAGGTGGCACTCAGAGCCCTCTTTGTAGGCACACGTGCCATCGCCAGTGCTCCCTCTAAGCTGTGGAGTCCTGTGAGCAAAAATTCTACTTTGTGAGCTACTGGCATTAAAGCTGTGAGTGAACGATTTGGCTCCTGCATAAATGAGTCTGCTCTGGAGCCCTCCTGCCTGAGCCAAGGCAAAAACGTGTGAGCCGGAGGCTAAAAAACTGTGAGCTGGCTCACACTAACTCAGTTTAGAGGGAACACTGGCCATCGCCCCAGCCAGGCCCAGACCATCATTAAAGTGTTGAATTCTCTGCCAAATAACTTTAAGTAAATGAAAGCATTCGGGATTGCTTTCCTTACTTTGTTTGGATCATCGTAAGTTAATGTATGAGTTGTTTTTTCTAAAGTAAAACCTCAGTATTCAGGTTAAATTACCGTGTTGGCACTTTGCGATAAATAAGTGGGTTTTGGGTCGCAGTTTGGGCACTCGGTCTCTAAAAGGTTCGCCATCACTGACCTAGACCCTACTCTCTTCTTTTATGCTCCGGGTCAAAACATGATAACCCAGGCTTGTAACTAGAGGATTTAAGCTTTCCAGTTGTTTTACAGTCTGCTTCTAGCCTGAGGACTATTATGGGGTGCTACATGTTTTATGCTCTAGGTTTCTAATATGCTTTTATACTTCTGATTGGCTGCATTCGTTAATTTTAATGACATCATGTTTTATGATTATATCTTGTAAGCCACCTCAAGCAGGTTTCTGAAGAGGTGGAATACTTGCGTTCTAAATAAATAAGTGAAATTCTGAACATAAGCAGGGGAAACCTTGTTGAGAGAAAGTGCTTTAAAATTTTCATTTTTGTGCTTTTTTAAAGATACCTGTGAGATGGGAAAAATGTATTTACTGTAAGTTTGTTGCTCTTTATCAAAAACAGGGAAAAAAGATCAAGCTGGAAAGAAACCTTTAAAATTAAGTGTTCCCCACAGAACAGATCATCCAGTTATGGGCATTCAGAGTCAAAAGAATTTCATAAACACAAATGCAGCAAATGTTATCATGGGAGTGCCTAAGAAACCGGTACCAGTTACTGTCGACAAGTACCAAGGAGACAAATTTCTCCTTGAAACTTCAGGACTTGTTCCAAGGTACCTAAAAAAAAAGGTATGTTTACAAATGGTTGTAAAAATCGTGGGGCTGAGGAGACATGAACAAAATACTTTGAACTTATTAGCATCTTGATTGTACATTTAAGAAGTTATGGTGTGCTGAATAAAGAGGCAGGCTGTTCTGTTGTATGCAAGGGGATTTCTGTGCAGCAGCCTTTCTCCTATATACATTATCATGCATAGGGAAGGGACAGGATTGGACAGTGGTTGTTGTGCACAGTGTGGAGTAGAGTTTACCATGTTGGATCAGGAGAGGGAATACCTGGGTTCAAATCCCCAATCTGCCATGAAGGCCAAGGAGTGGCCATGGGCTCATTGTCTCACTCTGATGGACTTCATAGGGTTCTTGTGAAGATCAAATGGAGTATAAAGGTAAAGGTTCCCTTGCTCGAAAGCCAGTCGAATCCGACTCTAGGGTTGCGGTGCTCATCTCCGTTTCCAAGCCGAAGAGCCAGCGCTGTCCAAAGACGTTTCCGTGGTCATGTGGCCGGCATGACTAAACACCAAGGCGCACGGAACGCTGTTACCTTCCCACCGAAGTGGTGTGGCCATGGGCTCATTATCTCACTCTGATGGACTTCATAGGGTTCTTGTGAAGATGAAATGGAGTATAGGAGAATCATATACATCACCTAACCTCCCCGGCCAGATCTGGATGGCTTAGGCTAGCCTGATCTCATATCTCATAAGCTAAACAGGGTCACCCCTGGCTAGTACTTGGTTGGGAGACGACCAAGGAAGTCCAAGGCTGCTACACAGAGGCAGGCAATGGCAAATCATCTTTTGCCTTGTAAACCCTACAGGGTCACCATAAACCCACTACGATGGCACTTTCTGCCACCAGGCTCCCTGGAGGAAAAGGGGGTTGACCGGATTAGTTTCTGCAATCTCTCATTTTCTAGTTGTCACCGAGATAGCCTTCAGTTGCAGGCTTCCACGATGCAAAAAGGTGAAAATGAAAATTTTGTCAAATCAGAAAGATGTTCATGCAGACATCCATTTAGACTACAACCAGATAGGTTCTCCAATATATGCGACCCTTGCAATTTGGTCAAGGAGTGGGGATATTAGAAATATGCTGAATTGTCTTTCTCAATAAACACAAGTTATTTCAACATTTATATTACACATGCATTTTTAAATTTTTTTGTGAACCTTTTGTTTCTTGTAGGATTATGGCGTTACTCCAGAATATGTAATTAGGCGGAACGAAGAGGCAAAGAGAGCCCAGGAGGCGTATGATGCCTACGTGAAGAAGACTCTTCAAGACAGAGCCATGAAACGGCTCTCTGATGAAGAGCGGGAGGAACTTCTTGACGTATGTGGACTGACTTAGATTGGGTTGTCTCAAGAATAAGGACAGACAGAAATAGGAAAGTATTTATAAAAGTATTAGAATAGAATGGGTAGATTTTTTTTCACTAGATGGAGCTCTTGAATGCTTGTATATAGGACTGAGCAGCCCATGGGATATGGCCGAAATTTTAAGCAATTAGGGTGCACAAAGTTAATTTGAAAAGTTGGATTCCATCTCATCACTGTCTGTCTTTAGATGTGCATTAACAGGCCTCCATGGCATATCCTCAAACATCAAATGTTTTGTCCCTACTTTGGGGGGGGGGATACTCTGTGACATACTACTTCAATTCTCTCTTGTGTCACTAGGGTGGGCTCTAAAATTATTAAAGTCTGTTTTTGTAGAATTTTTCTACATGCTTACATATCAATCAAATTAACTGTTTCTTTCCTGTAATTCATATAGGGTCTTAAGAAGAACTGGGAACAGGTTCATCAGGCATTCCAAAGCCTTTCGGTAGAAATTGATACGTTACCAAAGAAACTTAACAAAGAAAGACTAGAGTTGCAGATGAAACAGTTGGAACACGACATTAATACCATAGAGAAACACAAAGTGATTTACATTGCAAACAAATAAGGAATTTTTTACAGAAAAAATATTTTTTTTGTCCCGAGATGAAAATGAAGTTGCTTTTCTTAGGAAGTCAAAAATATCTGTTTACTCAACAGTAGGCAAAGTAACTAATTTCAACAAGTATGTTAGAACCTTACCATGTTTCATGTTTTCAAGGTTGTAAAATATGCATAATGTGCCTGGGTTTTTTTTTTCCAAATGCACATCTGCTCTCCCCCTCTAGACTTTTAAATTAGGTGTATAATGTAAAAAATATATATGAAGAGTTTCAGATGTCATAATAATATTTAACATCCTGTACTGTAATAATTCAAGTAGATGTATGAATTAAAAGGAAGTGGGAAAGATTTGGGGGATAGTTAATAAAGTGCTGTTGACGTTTAAGTTAAAGACACCTGTTCCATCTGTGTGTGATTGTTTTATATTATATATTTTAGTTCATCATCCACTCGTTTATTTAAAGGTCAGGAAGCAGCCGTAGCTTTCTTACAAAGAGGTGAAAAGAGGCAGCAGGTCAAATATGTTGGTATATAATCTCATGGAAAAGGCAAAGTAGGAACAACATGTGTCTTTTGTATAGTTAATTTCAACAGCGTGTTTACATGTTATAAATAATATTTATTATTTATTTTAAAACTAATTCTCTGCCTTTCTGCCATCATCAGGGCTACCAAGGCAGCTAGCAAATTAAAAAATACATAATAAAATTACATGTCAGAAACTATTCAAACCAACCAAAAATCAATAAAAACCCAGAGCTAACATGCATACAAAAACATTAAAAAAACAAAACATCGGGCAGGAAGGAGGGATCATTGAGGGAACACCAAATAAGACAAAAAAAAGTCTTCAACCTGCTGGTGCAAGATGGTAATGGAAGAGGACAGACAAGTCTTCCTGGGGAGAGAATTCCAGAAAAGGCCCGCATTGCCACTTGCCAAATCTCAGTAGGTGGGACCACCCAAAGCAGAACCTCCAAAAATGACCATAGTGGTAGGGTAGGCTCATAAGGGAGTAGGCAGTCCTCCAGTTACGTTGGTCCCAAATCATTTGTTGTTGTTGTTCAGTCGCACAGTCGAGTCCGACTCTTCGCGACCCCATGGACCAGCTCCCGCCAGGCCTTCCGGTCTTCCGCTGTCCTCTGAAGTTTGCTCAATTTCATGTTCATTGCATCTATGACACTGTCTAACCATCTCATCCTTTGCCGTCCCCGTCTTCTTTGACCTTCAATCTTTCCCAGCATCAGGGTCTTCTCCAGTGAGTGCTCCAGACAGCCCCACATCAAGCGCACTGCAGTAATCTAGATGTAACCAGGGCATGCACCACACTAGCCAGCTCTTTTCTGCACAGGAAAGGCTGCAGCTGGCTAGCCAGTCAAAGTTGGTAGAAGGCATGCCTTGCCACAGCTGCATCTGCTGATTCTGTGGTAGGCCTGGGTCCAGGAGCACTCCCAGAGTCTGTTCCTTTAAGGGGAGTGTATCCCTGCCCAGAATGAGTCAGCATTCTGAATGGTATTCTAATATATGCATAACAACTAAACCTCATCATATCCTCTGCCTCTGTGTTTCTATTCGCGGTTAGAGATCCCTATAGAAATGTCACTTTTTTGCTGCCTTTTAGAAGGATCTGCAAGTGTGGAGCAAAGGCACTGTGGCACATCTCTCATTGCATGCACACTGAGAGGAGCATAAGAATGGTGCAGTGTCTCTCAGTGGCACACAGGACTTCTTCACAGCTCTAACTCTTGGGTTTCTTCCTTACTACAGTATACCTCCTGATGCTCAGCTTGTGTTTCCTGGCCCCCTTGGTCAGCTGCCTACAGTCCAAACCTCGATGCCACTGAGGTCTTAACTATGGCTCCCCCTTTCCTGTCATGTGACTCTGGTGTCAGGTGTTTGCAGCTCAGTTGCTACCATACTCATGATGAGTCTCATGTCTGGGAAAGGTTGGAGACCACTGCTTTAGCTCCTAAATTTAAAGTTGGACTTCTCCATTTCAGACATTTGGCATCCTGTATTTCTTGTAGGAGTGTTGACAGAATGATTCCAGGTCAGGAATGAGAAGAAACAAGTCCCTTAAAGTGTATTGTTTACATTAAACTCTCTTTAGGATGCTGAACTCTGGTTAAGTGCTTTTAATAAACTGCTTGGGCAGTGTAAACTGTTCATGCTAGAGAAGATAATGTTCTCAAAAAGACAAAAAGGCCAGAGTTCTTGTGACACACAGTGCAAGTAGTAATAGCTGTTGCCGCTGCCTCTGTTAACATTTTATTATTTTAATGTTTTTGTCTCCTATCTGTATCCGTCCACAGGGTATTGCCAAAACATGGCAATACTAACAGGCATCGTTATCACTTACCAAATATAATTTGCCGGGGCATTGATGTCTTTGCAGTTTGTGGGGGAGGAACAGTTATGGGTAAGTCAGAGACATCACTGGCTGGGAAACACTACCTAAGATTGACCAACCAACCCCCCCCGTGTATGTGTTCATGGTTGGTGTGGTGGAAAGTGCTGTCAAGCCATAGCCAACTTATGGTGACCCTGTAGGGTTTTCAAGGCAAGAGGTGATTTGCCATTGCCTGCCTCTGTGGAGCAGCCCTGGACTTCCTTGGTGGTCTCCTATCCAAGCACTAACCACAGCTGACTCTGGTTAGCTTCCAGAGGTGATTTGCCATTGCCTGCCCCTGTGGAGCAGCCTGGACTTCCTTGGTGGTCTCCTATCCAAGCACTAACCACAGCTGACTCTGGTTAGCTTCCAAGATCTGATGAGATCAAGCTAACCGGGGCCATTCAGGTCAGGGCTTCACAGTTGTTAGAAAGGTACAAAATAACTTATCCAGGAAGCTGTATGTCTCCAGTAATGATTGATCCTAGTACTATTATGCAAGACCTTCTATTTGTCATTATATAGTACTGCCTCTGTTATGGTAGGCCAGGTATCCAGTACCCTAAAGCTGCACAACTGGTTATTCAGCAAAGAGAATTCAACCCATCAAGCATGTATAGAGATCTACCAGGTGCTCAATGCCCCCAGCCTGCCAAATTGGCAGCTCCAACCAAGTAGCTCAGACAAAAGATTCATTATAACTCATGGTAAGATATCATAGGTAAAGGTAAAGGTTCCCTTACTCGAAAGCCAGTCGAATCCGACTCTAGGGTTGCAGTGCTCATCTCCGTTTCAAAGCCGAAGAGCCAGCGCTGTCCGAAGACGTTTCCGTGGTCATGTGGCCGGCATGACTAAACACCAAGGCGCACAGAACGCTGTTACCTCCCCACCGAAGTGGTACCTATTTATATACTTGCAATTTCTTGCTTTCGAACTGCTAGGTTGGCAGGAGCTGGAGCTAGAGATGGGAGCTCACTCCATCATGCGACACCCGGGTCTCAAACTGCTGAACTACTGACCTTCCACAGCCTGCAATTCAGCGTCTTAACCACTTGAGCCACTGCAGCTATCATACATAGCTGGTAAAGGGGTTTGGTGCGTCACAACAAGTTGCATTCCAAGTAATGCCTAGTGGAATGAGATGTGACTCTTTAGCTGGTGCCCCTGCTAGCATAGATCAACATCTGGAGCAGACATCTCTCCATTTAAACCAGATGTGTGCTTTTTCACGAGGGTCACCAGCTCTATTGATTGCCAAAGAAACATGCTTTAATGGAAACCATTTGAGCTGCAGACACAAGGAAAACATTCTTATTCCGTTCTCTCTCTCCAGGAAGTTTGTCAAAATACATTTAGAGAATCCTAAGAATGTCACTGTATATTTACAGGGAAAAAGAAGTGCCAGCAATTGGAACCATGGTGTTTCTGAACTGGCTCATGATAGTATAGCAAAAGAGGAACAAGTGTAAATAAACGCAGTTGTTATTTCCTTAGAATTGTTCCTTTATTAGAATGAACAGAAAAACAAGAACAAATGTCACCCTATTTTTTTGTACAGCAATCTGTTCTCATCACATTTTGGTATATCTTGGTTGCCAACGGTGATGAAGCTTCCTTATACTGTTAGTCCATCTATCCTACAGGCAGTGCTCCAAGATTTCAAGTATAGTTCTTTTCCAGGCCCTTCTGTCTGGAGATTGACCATGGTATGCCCTGCACCCTATTATTGTACATCATCTCTGAGCTGTAACAGATGGCGATTCCTCCATACACAAAATCCCCTGCATAGGAAGCTAAAATGTCAAGGAGAACCCTTTGCCACCTGCCATCTAGAGAGCCAGTTTGGTGTAATGGTTAAGAGCGCAGACTCTAATCTGGGAGAACTGGGTTTGTTTCCCCACTTCTCTACATGCAGCTGCTGGTGTGACCTTGGGTTAGTTACAAGTCCTTTCAGAGCTGTTCTCTCATGAGCAGTTCTTGAAAGAGCTCTCTCAGCCCCACCTACCTCACAGGGTGTCTGCTGTGGGGAGGGGAAAAGGGAAACAAGACTTGTAAGCCAGTCTGAGACTCCTTCGGGTAGTGAAGGGAGGGGTATAAATCCAATGTCTTTTTCCATATGCAGGAATTTTGTGTGTGCGTGCGCGAGAATGAGGGGGGGCTATATAAAAAAGCAGTCGTATAAGTCCCCATCTGGAGACCAGTGATGCAGCTGCCCAGACATACGATTTGCCAACCTCATAAGAACTAGGATGGTGCAAAGGTCTCTCACGAAGCAGTAATCATGACTCCCAAACCAGGTTATGCCCAAGCAAGGACTTGAACCCTCTCTTCTAGAGAGCTGCATAAACAAAAGTTTGATATGCTATTTCACTGTAGATGGAAGTCCTCTAAGCTGTCAAGAGATCAAACTGGAGATAGGTTGCATGGACCTACACAAACATGTTTGGACTCTGATGAGCAGAAAAGGGGTAATCACTACTTGTGGTGTAATGGTTAGAGTGTCAGTCTAGGATCTGGGAAACCCAGGTTTGAGTCACCTCACCAGTATGTCACGGACACTTGCTGGGTGACCTTGGCCCAGTCAGCATAGTCTCACTCTCAGGCTAACCTTCCTCACAGGTTTGGTGTGGTGATAAAGTGGAGAAGAAAGGTGTAAGCTGCTTTGAGTTCCCCACTGGTGAGAAAAATACATGAAGCAAATAAATACTGTATGTTAAGATTTAAAGAGGATTTAAGTAAGAGAAGCATACCACTATCAAATTGTTAACACTGAAGGGGAAAAATTAAGAGGACAATGAGAAGAACTACCCTACTCAGGATCTTTGGCGACTAGAGGAATTTGCTGTCTAGGTTCTGGCTATAGCAGAGGAACCCCTCCAGAGTTTTCTTTACTCCACTTGATACTGAAGCTGCCCCTTATTCATGGTAATCCCTGAATCTCTGCAAGATACTGTGCTCCAAGAGCCAGCAAAGGGGAACTGTCTGATCAGCCAGGCCCTGAGACTCCTGTAGCCCATTTGGGAAACTCAACTAGGTTGGTGGCTTTTTAAAAATGGCATGCCATCTGTGGCTTTCAAAGTTGTACAAATGGCACCGACGAACAGGAATAGTACATCTCACCACACTGAAATATTGCAAGGATTACATTCCTGTTGCTCAGACAAGTATTTCTTCCCATTTTCTACTTTTGCTCAGAATTATTTGTCATTTACCTTGACTCACTGAGACTCAAGATGGATTAGATAATTTAAGTCAGTACAACCAATAGTATAGACATCTCATAAACAATGTAATGAGACCAGGACTGAAACAAGCCATAACTATTAAACATGGCATATTAAACAATGCCAGAAATTGGTATTACATAAGCAGAAATACAATGCAATGAGACCACGATAAACACATACAGCAACAGATAATGCATCTGTACTTTACTCAATAGTCCCGATCTCTCTATTGAAACTCCAGCCCTGTTCCTTCATAAAAAGGCACTGAATTATCTTCCTTTGTGGAAGGCTAGTGTAGCACAGTGGGTCAAAAACTGGCCTGTGAACTTCAAATTCCCCTATCCAAATCTTGATTCCGCAGTGAATTCCTTTGGAGCCTGTTATATACTGAGATTGAGGCAGTGTTTCCAAAACAGTGATTTCTTTATTCAGCTCAGAATACAGCAGCAAGACTCATAGAATGAACAATGTTCCCTCTAAGCTGTGAAGTCCTGTAAGCAAAAATTCCACTTTGTGAGCTACTGGCATTAAAATTGTGAGCAAGCCATTTGGCTACTGCATAAATTAGTTTGCTCTGGAGCCATCCTTCCTGAGCCAAGACAAAAACGTGTGAGCCGGAGGCTAAAAAACTGTGAGCTAGCTCACACTAACTCAGCTTAGAGGGAACACTGGATGCAACTATATACATTTTGAACCAGTGAGGCCACACCTCCTAGCACAGTAATGACCAATTACAATTGAGAGCTTAGGACCAATGGGATTCATTCCCGCTGAAGGTCAGAGTCCTTCCGGATTGGTCTGTTACACAACGGCGACCAATCTGACTGCAGGGTTTAGAATACCTGGGAGTCAATGGACCCTGTGCCTGAAGCTCCGGTTTAGGTTACATAGCATAACACATAAGAAAATACATAACACAGCCTCAGTTGTCCATCAGAAATGTAGGGATAATAATAGTGACTTCATAGGATGGGAGAGTGGCTGGGAAGCATTCTGAACACTCTAAAGTGGCACACCAAGGTCAAATGCTATTATTTGAAAGATAATGACTTCACACTTTATTCCCTGAAGAAACCACTGCCCCCCTACTTTTAAAGTTTCCATTGTTTTTACTTTAAATATATTTATTCTCACTTTTTTCTCCTCAGCTGAGACCCACAAACAGTTTACATCTTTCTCAGTTTACATCCTCCTCAGTTTAATCCTCACAACAACTCTGTGAGGCTGATTACCGGCACCTCCTAGCACAGTAATGACCAATTACAATTGAGAGCTTAGGACCAATGGGATTCATTCCCGCTGAAGGTCAGAGTCCTTCCGGATTGGTCTGTTACACAACGGCGACCAATCTGACTGCAGGGTTTAGAATACCTGGGAGTCAATGGACCCTGTGCCTGAAGCTCCGGTTTAGGTTACATAGCATAACACATAAGAAAATACATAACACAGCCTCAGTTGTCCATCAGAAATGTAGGGATAATAATAGTGACTTCATAGGATGGGAGAGTGGCTGGGAAGCATTCTGAACACTCTAAAGTGGCACACCAAGGTCAAATGCTATTATTTGAAAGATAATGACTTCACACTTTATTCCCTGAAGAAACCACTGCCCCCCTACTTTTAAAGTTTCCATTGTTTTTACTTTAAATATATTTATTCTCACTTTTTTCTCCTCAGCTGAGACCCACAAACAGTTTACATCTTTCTCCCCTCCTCAGTTTAATCCTCAAAACAACTCTGTGAGGCTGATTACCGGGAGAGAGAACGAACAGCCCAAGGGCCTCCAGACATCTTCCATGGTACAGCAGGGATTCAAATCTGGGCCCACAAGATCCTAGTCCAACACTCAAACCACTGTAACACCCGGGATAATGTATATTTCTTAATGGACAGATTAAACCAATCAACCAGAAAAGGCTTCCACCATCTCTTTGCTTGTTGTAGGAAGCAACTGGACTTGAATAATTATTGTTCTTATAAAGCCCACCGAGTTCAGGCGCAATTTTCGTGTGACACTGGCTGAGGCAGCACCCCTTTCCAATGGGCCTTTGCCCACACTGCACAGTATCTTTGCATGGGTGGGCAGCCCAATTCCAATGTGACATTGGCCCATTCTGCATCTAGCATTTGCTCCGTTGTTTTACCAACCCCACAATGGAACAGAAAAACTCAAAACTACATTCAGATACCCTGGGCCAACTCCATAGTGACTGTAAAATCACCAATGAATGGCCATAAAATGGCCATATATCTATGCAGAGCACCATAAAACTGAGAGATCAAACAAAGTGAAAGTGGCATGCAGTCTGGGACACGGCCATAAAATCCGACAATCAGTCAAAGTGAAAGTGGCATGCAATGTAGAGGGGAATTTCTGTTCCAAAGTGGGTTTGGTAAAACAGCAGAGGGAATGCTAGATGCAGAATGGGCCATTGTAAAGGGAAAGCGCTTCAGACTCTGCCAGCATCATCTTTTTCAACAAGGTCTTACTTTCAGTCATCGGTGTATCTTGCAGAATGCACGCCAACAGCCCAGCCCAACATTCAACAGAAACCAGCAGCACTTCGTTCCTTGGGATGTGCCATTTCCGCCGGCAGACGGTGGATATTTTATATTTCAATGATCACCCTTTCATTTCTCTTTTCCCTCCTAATTGGGAAGCAACCAAGCATGCACAGACACCACTGTCCAGGTAGCCTAAAATCCTAAACCTCGTGTAAAACTTGTGTTATGCAGCTGAATATATAAACCTGCCCTGAGGCTCAACGTTCTTAGCACCATCAACTGGTAGTAGGCTTAGCCACGGACTGTACCACTCTAGGCAGCAGATGGGGGAATCGCATATCTGCATGTTCCATCCGCACACCGGAGATTTAGTGCACAATTTAGTGCACAATTATATATATTGTTTTAATTTCTTCCGACGTGCAACAGAAGTTGCACAAGGGCACTTCCACCACCCCTCTCCCACCACTAACAGTCCAAAGCGGTACCGAGCGGGAAAAGCCTGACCGCTTGGGTCGCTTAGAGGAATGCACGCGCTCTTCATAGTTTTACAGCCCCAGCTCCGCATGAGTCGTCGGGAGTCGGCACCGCGGAATGCGAGGCGATTTACTCGCGCGGGCGTTGTATCAGGAGCCACTGGTGCCGGAGAGCCCTACGTTGGGCAGCAGGTTGCTTCTTCTTGGGGTTGGACAGGGGGTGAAGCTAAAGGGAGAGAAACCCTCTGCGCTGCCTGCTAGAAAGGAAACCAGCCGGATAGCTGTCTGGAGCTTTTTTTGGGGGGGGGGGAGTGTCGAGGAACGCAATGCACCAGCCCGCGGGAGGCTGAAGCAGCCCCAGGGCGCAGCTGGCTCTCCGTTGAGCGCCGAAAGGAGCTCTTCCTCCTTGTCGGGCCTCCTTCTGCAGCTGCGGCTCCTTCGCCTCTCGTCTAGCCGCCGCCAAGCGCCGCCTCCTTCGCCTCCGCCTCCTCCTCCTGGCGCTGGCGGTTGTTTGCAGCCCGCGACATCCGAGCCAAGAGAAAAAGGAGGCCGGGCTGAGTTCCACGCTTTCCCTCCAAATCTCCGGTTTCCTCCTCCTCCTCTTCGCTCCCTCTCCCTCCGAGGCTCTGGCCAGCCCCTTTCGGAAGATGGCCGAGTGGAACAGCAGGATTCGCTCCGCAGAGGCGGCGGCGCCGGGACGCAGCAGCCGAGGGGTCGTGGTAAATGGGAAAAAAATCCCCCTCCCGTAGTCAGCAGCTGGTGCAAAGCCCGGCTCTCAGCCACCCAGCTCGGCCACTCTCCTTGCCTCCTTCCTCGGGTCCACTCCCCCCTTCCATCACTGTTTTAGAAGATTACCTGTATTAGGTCCCGTCCCCCACCCCGCCCGCGCAAAAACAAATTACGCCTGAATTGAAGCGGGTTTAGTCTCTGAATGTGCAGGTTTTACCCCACTTAATATGGATGACGTACCGCCTTAACATTCTTTAACACCTTTGGTACCACGCAAAGCAGTAAAAAATGGTGGATTGTTCCCCCGCCCCCGCTTTCTTCATTGCATGCTTATCTGCACGGATTCTGATCTGTGGTGCTGCCTGGATTCCGGGGGTGGCGTTGGCATTAATGTTCATATGAATGAACGCAAAGAATACAAGAGTTTGGTCATTCCTGAAGCCACATTCCTATCTATGATCTTATCCCATTTTAGGGTTGCTTACCTGGTTTCTTGTCAGAGGCCTGTGCACTTTAAACAGTCACAGGGCAGGCAGAACTTTCTTCTAGCCCTGAATTTCCAGGCTTGTGGGAAAGTTACAGATGTTTGCTTTCTAATTCTCACACAGTTGTTAAAACGTTTGGTGGGATGATGGCGCTACCATCTAATCCCAAACATCCTGTGCCTCATACACAAATCACACCTTCCTCTTTGCTTGTAAGTTGTCTGGATGAGCTGTGGGGTTCCCTACTCACAGTTACAAATACCCGTTACCTTCACCCAGGATTGTTCCTTCTGGGAAGGGCAACACAGTCTCCCTTTTGGTAGACAAAGGGTAGACAAGGTGATTACAAAAAGTGTTCAGGCACAGTGCCTTGTGCTGTCTTGTAACAGTAGGCTGCTTTCAATGCAAAGGTATCTTGTTCGCATCACAGGTAGTGATCTTCGCTAGCATTAAAACACACGGTCTGGGAGTCCAGTGTCTCCAGAAATGCATTTCAGAAAAATATCATATGGTCTACTCACTTTCCCCCTCTCCCAAATGACTCCTTCCAACAGCACTTTCCTGCCCTGTGTCTCATGCTTGCTTCTCTTGGGCTGTCTTGTCCCTATGAGGTTAGGATGATTTATTTATTTTTAAATTTATTATTGAATTTCTATCCTGTCCTCCCCCCACATAGCAGGGCTCAGGGTGGGTTACATAAAAAATATACAATAAGCAATAGTTTAACTGTTAAAACATAATTACAAATATACAAAACTAAACCAGATGGCGATCAGCACAATTTATAAGTTCTTGTAGTAGAAATGCACACTAAGACCAGTTCTGTGCAATAGAACAAACCGCGGGCAGCAGCACAAAATAGGTGGTGCTGGGCAGGGGAGGCCAGTGTAATAGGACATCTGCCACCTCAGCTGTAGACCTGGCGGAACATCTCTGTTTTACAGGCCCTGCAGAACTCTACCGAGTCCTGCAGGGCCCTGATCTCACTTGGGGGAGAATTCCACCAGGCCGGAGCCAGAGCTAAGCGAATATCCTTTGGGTCAGGGACCACCAGCAGATGTTGATCGGCAGAGCGTAAAGCTCGTTGGGGGGCATACACAATGTTCTGCGTAATTTATTTTCATTATTTTATACTGTAAGACTCCCTTAGTCAACTGGGGAGAGACCAAGGTGCAGTGGCAGAGCACACAGTTCATAGGCAGGAAGCCCTAGGTTCCATCCCAAGTATATCCAGTTGCAGGATCTCCAACAGCAGATGCCTCTACCTGAGCCACCTTGGAGAGTGGCAGCCAGCTGGGCTACAGAACACTGACCTAGATGGTCAGATTTAGTAGAAGGCAGCTGCCTGTGAAATGTGGAAAGGATCTTACAGGATCTGCTATAAAATCATAAGAGATAGTAGATGTCTGAGGCAGTGTGGGGGTGCTCCTGGACCTGTTGGATAAGTGGACCAGGTGGCAGCAGTGGCCAGGGGTGCCTTTCAAGCAGCTTCGGCTGATGAGCCGGCTGTGGCCCTTCCAGGACAGAAAGGATCTTGCCACTGTGATGTGTGCCCTGGTAACATCTAGATTAGATTCCTACAATGCATTCTACGTGGGGCCATCCTTGAAGACCCAAAAGGGAATTAGATAAACATATGGAGCAGAGATCCATCAGTGGCTATTAGCCACAAGGTATAGATAGGAACTCTTAGGCTGGGGCAAGTGATGCTCTGTATTCTTGGTGCTTGGGTGGGGGGGCAACAGTGGGAGGGCTTCTAGTGTCCTGGCCCCACTGCTGGGCCTCCTGATGGCACCTGGTATTTTTGGCCACTTTTTTCCTTTTGACACTCAAGCATCATTAAGTGTCTGCCTTTCCTAAAGCAAATCTTAACCAACCACAGTGTGTCATAGTGTGCTTAGCTATGCAATACCAAGCTGGGCAAAGTGCCTGTATTTCCCAGAGGGACTAGATCTTCAGTCTTTAACTGAATAGCCCAGCTGATGAAACAGAAATCTTCAGAAAGCACAGGAATGTTTACTCTTATACAGACTTTTATGAGAGCCCCTCTCAAACGTTATCACCTTTATCAGATTACCAGCATGTTATGATTTGCTGCCCACAATGGCAGAACAACAGTTTCTTTTTAATTCTTTTTAATTCTTGTACACTGCAAGTCACAGCTGTGGATGTTGCTTACCTATGGAGAATGTTGTGCCTGCTTTTAAAATAGGACTAATTGCTTCTGCGTATATTCCCCAGCAATTTTTTTTTTATACTAATCAGTTCACTTGTGTGCTTCATGCAAGTAGAAGTTATTGTTGCTTTGTGTTGCCTTTCTTCCTAACAGCATGGAAGTGTGGCATGAGATTCTATAGCCCCTTCTGGTTTGTTTTTCTGTCATCATGCCATTACAAACAAAGTGGTACTCTAACCACAAACTTTTGCCCAGATGGACAGCATGAAACAGTTTCTGCTAGCATCTTTTTATAAAAGCTGCTCTCAGGAAATGTGGCCAAGGCCGGATGCTCTAGTGTGAATTTAGATGGATTTAGAGCCGAGTATGTAATGCTGGAGGGCCAGAAGGTTTCCCTGTTCTTGCTAAAATGCCAGAAAGCATAGGAATCTCCAGTTATCCTCAATGGGATGTTCTGGTTCCCTTCTGTGGAAGGTGACGTGGGTGAGAAGGGAATGTGTGAAGTCCACATCTTACTCAAGTAGAATCCCAAGGGAAAATGTAGCCATGTTCACATGTTACAGTGAGCCCACCTATGTCCTACCTGTATGTGAATACATCTGTTTGGAAGAAAGAATCACCACATGTTTGCTCAGGAGGCCTGAACCTGGATAAATGTTGGTTTTGTAGCATGTGTTGACTGTAACATGAGAATTACTCAGTGCGCATACAAAGGACATCCAAGTTTGTACTGTACACATATTGTACATGCATCAGTGTGACAGAGACAGAAAGATTTTCTTATATTCCGACACATATTGTACATGCATCAGTGTGAGAGAGACAGAGACAGAAAGATTTTCTTATATTCCTTTCTTTTTAAAAAATCAATTTATGTAATTTCCCAGTCTCTAGACTTCATTTAAAGGATTTGGAAATGATCAAGTGCCTGGATTATTTTGCCTCTTATCAAACCTTTTGCCAGCAGTTGTTAAAACCATGCAATGCAGCAATAACTTTGTCCTGCAAGTAGAGATTTCTAATGTAGTTTATCTAATTTACAGATTTCAGATGATTGGCCAGGATATAGCTTGGATCTCTTTACATATCCACAGCACTATTATGGGGATCTTGACTATGTGCTCATTCCACATGGGATCATTGTGGACAGGTGAGATTCTGTGAATGTGCCCCATGTCATAGCTAAATGTTTTGTGTCTCCAATGCAGGAAGCACCTTATAAATTTGATGGCAGGAATAAATCCATCCCTGGCCCAGCAAAATAACAGCATGCCTGTTAAAACAGTGGCAATCCTATTTAGGCCATAATCTTCACCAGAGCTATTTGTATATGAGTTGTGTATAAGTTCAACTGAAACCAGCAAGATAAACTCCCAAAGACTTGTAACTAAGACTGAGATGTTGGATACCCACCATATGAATTTCAGTCTAATGAACTGTGGGAAGAACTTTGCTTTGCTTGTTAACAAGGTGTTCAAGGTCAAATTCCTCTTCTCACTCTTTTTACTGAAGGAGCAGGGATGTTGTTCTTTTTGTAGCTAGTGTAGCTTGTTTGGATAAGATAGCCACCACATTTTTTAGTGGAACAGTTGTCATTCTGGGTGAAGCCAACACTGAGCTGTGTGTTATCAGAACTGAAACAGTGAATTTGTGAACTTAGTTGATGTTCGATAGTTTCACAAGCGATGGCAGGAAGGGGTTCTCCCCCCAGTTATGTAACTTAATTTCTTTACATTTACATTTCGCCCCCTCATCTGCAGAGGTCAGTATTGCATTCATAGCCAAAAATCTGGTGAATTAGCCTAGGGGTAGAGGGACTGGTTCAGTTGATGTGTAATGCCATCATTTTCGTTCTGTACGAGTGGTGCTTGGGTTCACGTGTTGCCTTCATCCTCTCTCTGTGTGCTGTGATCTCACCATTCCACTGTTTTACACTTCCCTTCTAGAATAACTTTGGAAAGCTGGGCACGTTTAGCCTGGAGAGGAAATGACTGAGAGGTGATATGATAACCATCTTCAAGTACTTGAAGGGCTGTCATATAGAGGATGGTGCGGAGTTGTTTTCTGTTGCCCCAGAAGGTCGGACCAGAACCAACGGGTTGAAATTAAATCAAAAGAGCTTTCGGCTAAACATTAGGAAGAACTTCCTGACAGTTTGAGTGGTTCCTGAGTGAAAGGGCTTCCTTGGGAGGTTGGTGGGCTCTCCTCCGTTGGAGGTTTTTAAACAGAGGCTAGATGGCCATCTGACAGCAATGCTGATTCTGTGAACTTAGGCAGACCATGAGAAGAGAGGGGCCAGGAAGCAATCAGTGCTTAGTTCTTGTGGCCCTTTTTTACACACCCAGGGAAATGCCACTTTGGGGTCAGGAAGCAATTTTTCTCCAGGCCAGTTTGGCCAGGGAGCCTGGAGGTTTCTTGTCACCTTCTGGACATGGAACAGGGGTCACTGGAGGTGTGGGTGGGGGGAGGTATTTGTGAATTTCCTGCATTGTGTGGGGGATTGGACTAGATGACCCTGAAGATCCCTTCCAACTCTACGATTCTGTGGTTCTCCCCATGTTTTCCATTTTTAGTTTGAAAGGCAAACACATCATGAAATTTGTTTCAGAGTGTTGCCATTCTGGTCTGCAGTAGAATAGCAAGATTCAAGTCCAGTAGAAGCCTTAAGATTTTCGGGGTAGAAGCTTTGGAGAGTCAGAGCTCCCTTATCTCCGCTATCTGATGAAGGGAGCTTTGATTCTTGACCAATAATCTTGTTGGTCTTTTAAGTGCTACTGGACTTTATAGCGAAATTTGTAACAGCTTGTTGGTTTGTGAAACCTGAAAGAAGGGAGGAAATCACGGTACAAGTGAGAGAGAGGATGGAATGCACAAAGCTCGAAGCTCCTTCACATTATCTCAGATCGTCATATGAACCATCCCCGCTGTGGCTTTCCAGAGCTGTGCTGCTGAGCAGGGGATTGAACTGACGTTCCTGCTTTTCTCCAAATACAGCCCCTTGAGTGTCTGCTGCACCCTCCAGAGTCTCTTTAAGTATAAATGCAAACCTAATGTCTGTTTCAGTGTTCCCCCTAAGCTGAGTTAGTGTGAGCTAGCTCACAGTTTTTTAGCCTCCAGCTCACACATTTTTGTCTCAGCTCAGGAAGGATGTCTCCAGAGCAAACTGATGTATGCAGGAGCCAAATCGCTCGCTCACAGCTTTACACAGCTCACAAAGTAGAATTTTTTGCTCAAAAGACTCCACAGTTTAGAGGGAGCATTGGTCTGTTTTATATTCCAGGCTTTTGGAGAATAACTTATTAAATTTTTTAAAATTAATTTTGAAAAGCTCTGACAAACCATGCCCCTGCTGACAGTCAGCTAGGGGAGTGTGCTCTGATACGCTGTGTCACCAGGAATCACACACTCAAATGCTGAATCACGCACTCAAATGATGAATCACACACTCAAATGCTTCCTATCAGAGATGATTTGAATTTTAATACAGAAATGGCCCGAGGGCCAAAATGTCACCTGGAATAACTCTAGGTGCTGAATGGGAATGCTCAGAATAGTAACGAGTGTGAGGGGAAAAGGAAGATATCTGAAAGATGCTGTTTAATTCTTTCTGCTTTAAAAATAACATGTTGGGGGTGTCACTGCTCTCTGACCAAATAATCCACATATTTTAAATGTCGGAAAGTGCAGGTTAAAAAAGGCTTCATTTTGATAGAGCAATGCTAAAATCCTAGTGCACACTTTTCTCGTTAATTCCAGGCTACTTCTGATGTTGTAGTTTAATCTTGCGAAAATGCTTGTAAGGGAGAAACTACGGAATTCCTACGTACCCAGTGCAATCCTAAACAGAGAGGATTTAGTGGATTTAGAAGGGTGTAACTCCACTAAGAGGGGCCGCGGTGGCTCAGTGGTTAAGACGCTGGAAGGTCTAGTAGTTCAGCAGTTTGAGACCCGAGTGCTGCATGACTGAGTGAGCTCCCATCTCTGGTCCCAGCTCCTGCCAACCTAGCAGTTCGAAAGCAAGAAATGGCAAGTAGATAAATAGGTACGGCTTCGGCGGGAAGGTAACAGAGTTCCGTGTGCCTCGGCATTTAGTAATGCCGGCCACATGACCATGAAAAAGTCTTCAGACAGTGCTGACTCTTCAGCTTGGAAACGGAGATGAGCACTGCACCCCTAGAGTCGGATTCAACTGGCTTTCGAGCAAGAGAAACCTTTACCCTTTACTTTAACTCCGTGACTGTGTTTTTAAAAGGCTAGGCTGATTAGATGTGGGAACTGCACTGAACGTCTCAGGAGCTTTTATTTTCTGATATAGGCCTTGCATCTTTGGCTAGTTTCTGCCTAATCCAAGGAGTTTGTGCATGAGGAACTGTACCAGAATGTTGATGCTGAGATGCTTCTGAATGCTGCTGTGTTCTGTCCTCAATGCATTACTGTCAGTGGAATGTGCATTTGGTTGCACTTTCAGTTGCGCACGTCACCCTGCATCCAGGTGCTGCTAGTCATGCATAGACATCTTGGTTATGCACAAGCAGAGCTCTATCACAGTGCATATGTGTTTCATTCTTTTGTGTTGTGCTTTAGGATGCTTGCATTGCAAAACCTGAGCCTTACCATATATTTGTCCTTAATTTTTGCTTTAGGATAGAACGTTTGGCCAAAGATATCATGCAAGATATTGGATACAATGACATTGTGGTTCTCTGTGTACTTAAAGGTGGCTACAAATTCTGTGCTGACCTTGTGGAACATATTAAGAATCTCAGTAGAAATTCAGAAAAGTTCATCTCCATGAAAGTTGACTTTGTCAGACTGAAAAGTTACTGTGTAAGTAATGAATTTGCTTTTTTTTTGTCACATATGATTTTGGTGACAGCATTTAAAATTTGTACACACAGGGATTTATTTTGATGCAAAGGGTATCAGGGTACACTGTTACAAACATTTTCTGTGAGTGTCGATTAATAAACCAAGGGTGTGATAGCTTTTCTCCTTTCATAAAGAGAGCATTTATTTTGGAAACTGTGATATTAAACTTAAGATCATGCTGATTTAATAGGATCTTAAAATCTGTGGTATTGTAGACTGACCTGTTTGACACAGAATAGCAGAAATACAGCCAATCAAAATAGGGGGGGTTTAAAGCCAGGGGAAAAAAATACTGTTCCCAGAGATGCTTGGGTCAGTTTGACCTATTGAAACATCTTTAAGCATGCCACATAGTTGTACCCTAAACCGAAGCCAGAGTTACCCAGCCAGCGTCCAAAGGAAGTGTAAGATTAGTATCACAAGTCCAGAGATACTTTTGAAACTGCCCCCCCCCCCCATAGCATCCTCCACTCCAGCTCTGCAGAACAAATGGCTGTTGAAACTGGTGGGGATTTCAAAAGTGGTTTATCATGTGACACGTGGGTTCACAGCTGTTCAAAGAAAAAAATGTGAAACATCCCATCAGACTAGCACAGCCCCCTGTCTTTTGGACCCTGGCTGCTTTTTAACAGTGGAAAATATTATCTACAAAGGAGCAAAATGTCCAGACCTTTCTAGACGTTTCTTTGCCTCTGTTGTGCAGGAGATGTGAAGCTCTCCTGCTTAACTGAAGAACGCAGCTTGTTTTCCTGCAAACCACATGGTGATGAAGGGCAGGTGTTCAGTTTCTGTACCATTCTCGGTATTGACACGCTGAATTGAAGCAGAACTGATGATTGTATTGGATTGTCTCTAAGAACTCTTCATCTGGTTTGCGTGTTGGGTGTCTGACTACACATCTTGCTTTCGTTTTTCTGTTTCCCCCCCCCCCCATTCAATCTTAATATTTTCTTCGCAGTTTTCTTTTCTTCTGTAAAATTTGACTTCCTTTCATTCCCGGGCGGTGGGCTTTCTTGCACCGTTTATTTTTCTCTCTCCTAGCTTCCCCCTACTAACTGTTTCCTGTTTCTCTCTTCCTTAAGGGAGCCCTGCTGCTTTGCGCCCCCTTTATGCAGCTGGGCTCTGTCTCTCTCTCCAATTGTTTGTCTCCAAGAGCCGTGTCCAAGTCATGTAAACACTGGTGAGATTCTGGTGCGTTCTCTTGCTTCCAAGTTCAGCATTCATGGCTCAGGTTAGTTCATCAGAGGTGATATAAGTGGAAGGGGAGGCTTCTGGGCTCGACTGCTGGGGAAAGTTCCTTGCTTTTTATTCCTGTCCGAAGAAAAGCTTTATTTGGCAGCTCAGAAGCAGTTAGTAGATCCTGATTACGGGTTTTTTTGCTGTTGGAAGGTGCCCTCTTCGGAAGAAGGGGTCAGGAAACAATTTGGGCTGATTTCTCTCTCCCCGTGCTGATTGGCATGCTTTCTTGAGGGGTCCACTGACCTCCCGAAGGTCAGGATTTGGAGGGGCTGGAGAGGCAGAATGGAGGCTGGAAATTTCCCATCCATGAGCAGTGCTGCGTTAGCATAGCATAGGAATGGCTTGTGGGAGGGGCGTTCTACCAGAGTTGGCAGAAAATTTCAAGCGTTTTTCTCAAAATCGAAAAATGTCTGTTTTCAAGCTGCCTCACTGATATTCTACATGCACTTGGCTCAGTAGGTAATGAATCAAAGGGTACCTATTAGGTCTCCTGGCGATCTGGGAATGGGATTACAATACAATTCCTGTATTTGCAGCATGTGTCAGTGCATCTGTTGATACGACAGCCCCACTCTTTGGTAAGTATTGAGTACTGCAGAAGAAACTATACTGGTTTTACATCCAAAATGACGGGCTCAAATGAAGTTCCGCTGCGATAGCAACAGGTTTTCAGGTACATAAACTTGTAGGCTCTATTAAGACATAACAGCAAGCTTGTTTGTCATTACAGGAATGAGACTTGGCATTCCTTGGGCTCATATCTTCCTCACCCCTTGTGTGCAGCTTGAGTATTGGAAACATCATGGGTATCCAGCAGACTAGTTTGTCATAGTATCCAAATCTGACAAAATGACATGCCCTGGTTTATCCTCTAGCCTATTCCAAACTGTGGTTTAATCCTGGTTTGTTTAAAGAAAACTGTTTTGCCAGGATAATAAAAAGTGATTCCTTTTGGGAAACCAGAACATTTTTGATATCTGAGCGAGGCTCATTCTGGTGATGGCAAACCATGGTTTATCGTTGGTCTGTATCTAACCAAATTAAAGAAATATAAGGGTACTTAAATTTCCTTAAGGGAGGGACTGTGATTTCTGCTGATTTCCTTCCTGTCACTGCAGACTCCCTACTAGGGTGTTGATTGTCCCAGTTACAAAATTTCAGTGGGCTACAGCTGTATGTATCAGCAGAAATTGCCGTTACCTTAAGAGAACGTACAGGTACTGACCTTTCCTAAATATGCAGGCCACCATGTCTGAAGGCTGCCATAGTTAAAGATGAATGTGTTCTGAGGAAAAGAAGTGAAAGCAGACAAGGAAAAAATATTGAGCAGAAATTCTGTTGGCCGTTCCTTAACTGTTCTTGAATGCGAAGGAAGGAGCTATCCTGCTGCGTGCTGCTTTGAGAAGATGTTGAGTGATTCAAAGTGGGCAGGGGTAGGAAAAAATATTTGTTAATGAACATATATTAATTAAAACTTAACTTACTAAGGAATGTCGGGTTTGTTTTTCAGACTTTCTCCTACTGCAGCCTTAGCAGAATCTAGTATTACTGTGATAAGAGCCAATTCATTTTGATTCTAGCCTGAACTATCGAAAGCCCCATTTCTGTGCTGTAAATCTATAGATTCATAGAGTTGGGGCCTCCAGGGTCATCTAATCCGACCCCCTGAACAATTCAGCTTATGTTCTCTTTGAGGAAGCGATGTAGAAATTTCCCTTGAAAGAACGGCGAGTGGTTGTGGGGCTTTCTCTTCGCTGTACTGGCTCGCCCACCCTCTGCCGTCTCAGATGGGTTTGAGCCAGCCTGCCGCCCTCAAAATGGGAAGGAGAAGGGGGTTCAGGCACCCTGGTCCTCCTCCTTCACTTCAGGTGAGCATGCTTGTGCCCTCTTTCCCGCTCTGGCCCTGTGAGCTCCACCCAGTTTTCCTTCTCTGGCCTGGCTTGGAAGTCTCCCTTATATATCACCCTTGGCCCCACCCCCTGGACATTGGCTCCAATCAAGGTTTGGCCCCACTACTACCAGGAAGTATTAAAAGGAGAGTGGATACCCACTCAGGCCTTTCTGTGCTTTTGTCTCCCTTTTGGACTTTAAAATATCAAGCCCAGCCTCCTTTCTCCATCTTTTCCTTATGCTGGCCATTTCTGGCTGCCGGCCTCCATCCCTACAGGCCTCCTCTCTAGCAGTGGTGATGACCGCTATCTGGTTGGGGTCTGTCACAGCCTGTCCTGGTGGGCTGGCAGCCCTAGGTTCCCTGTTGCCTCTCTCTCTGGGTCAGGTCCCTCAGGGCACTGGGTTGTTTGTAGGGTGGGAGCTAACTGGGGGATGGGAGCCAGTCCTGCACAGTGGTGAAAGTTTCAGCAAGCACTTCCAGGGCTGCTGAGGAGGCATGAAGGGCCTTTGGACTGGGGCAAGTCATGTGAATAGGTTTTTATATGATATTTAGGTTGCATCTCTGAGGAAGAATATTTGTCTGGAAGCCTACAGTGGTTGTCAGTAGCGCTGACCTTCTCTGCATGGAATTTCCCTTCCCAAAAGTTGTTGTTTTTTTTAGTAGGATGAAGATATTTTGTTAAATTCATTTGTGTGTAACATGTAGTCAGTGCCTCCCTAGGCTTAATTAGGCAATGGTCTTCAGCTCATGGGCTGGGGCCTGCAAGCAGGACATGAGTTCCTATAGAGCTGCCAGTTTTGTTGCGTTTTGGAAGGACCCACATGCACAGAAAGCAATGATCTCAATGCCTCCTGCCTCTCTTGGCAAGTGCATTCAAAGGAGCAGTAGAATGGTGAGAGGAAGTGGTAACTGACTCTAACATTTCGCTTGTTCCTCCTTATGGTATACCTTCTAGTGCTTAGGAAGTGTTTCCTGTCCCGCTCTGTCATGGTCTTGTGTTCACAGTCCTGACCATGACCTTGTGAAGTCACAGCTTTGCCCCACTTCCTGTCACATGATTTTGCCAACATGTAGTTTCCTGTTGTATGCTTGCCACTTAGCAAGTTGCATGCCCATTGTTTGGAAGACTGAAGATCACTGATTTAGGGGAAAGTGAAGGTTTTGTCTGGTGTTAACACTGGGCAGCTTCGTTAACACAGCTTGTTAATATAATTCTGTACTATTCTGAATGTCTCTAGTTTAATCCACTGCTCTCTGGAAGAAGCTGTGAGGCAGTGCAACCACTGGGAAAATTCCGATGGGAATAACTTTTGTGTCAGCCCCATTGGATGAATGGAAGCTCGGTACTTTTCTTGTATAGCTTTTATTCCTTTCACTGGAACTTGAGCAAGAGACAGCCTCACTGGATTTTGTCCATTGCCTATCGCCCCATAAACATTTGGGTACTAAAAAAGAAACTTCTCAAAATCGGAAATTGTTGTAATAATAACCTCAATGTGCTTGGCTATTTTTGACAGCTATTCATTTTATTTCTGAAGCAGGGAAACAGGCAGTTCCATGTTTTTCAATAGGCTCTTATATCTAGAATATTTAACACTGGTTGATTACAGGCTTGAAAATAGCACTTTCAGCTGCTGTTATCAAAAAAGTAATTCTCTGTTCCTCCCTGCTTTATGGGAAATCATCAAAAGAAAGTTAGTTTGCTGATGCCTACATCATGTGAGGAGTTTAAAAGGTTATGTGGCTTGCTCTTTTAATCCTTTGAAATTCATCAAAATTATTTATGGTACTAGGAACGTAACTAATTTTAAAAATGTGATACCCCCTC